CTGAACATTCATGAAGAAAGCGTTCTAGATTATTTCCACAGCTGATTTATTATGCATCAACATCATGTCCAAGAAACTTTGCCACTGACACTTACGCTGTGAACTGTTGTATTAATGAATTTCTTCTCAATGTGTTATTTTCTTCAAAGTGATTGCACGGAAAGGAAAGAAATGTGATGTTTCAAATACCAAACAGCCTGAATTAACCTGCTCTCTTAGCAACTATTGATAAACTAATTATTTAACATCCGGGCGAAAATGTCAACCTACTGCCATGTGACCGCTAAACTTCAATACCCAATTTGATTAATATGATTACTGAAAAATGTTTGCTGCCGTAGCATTCGCGTTTTTCAAAGATGGTATTGATGCGTTAACCAGATCACCTCATACGAGATATAATCCCGTGTACAGGGAATAAAGTTTTTTGTGCTAAGCACTTTCAGGTTCGCAAAACTACATCACTAGGATTCGGTGATGAGTTACACTTGCTTATTCCTTTCCAGCTTCTTTCATCGATAGAAACCAGCAGCGAGTAAGCATTGTGTTCTAAATATAGACTACTGTATAAATACGATATTTATCGAAAAACAGTCGAATCCTTTCTGAAAATACAAACAAATACAAAAGTCTTACCAAGCAATTATCATAATATTAGTGTTAAGCTATATATATATATATATATATATATATATATATATATATATATATATATATATATGGTATATAATTTACTGCAGTTTTACTTTATTTTACCCCCTACCTTGAAACCTATTAAATATAAACAGCTTGACTGGAAATTATGACAAACTTTTTTATCCACGAAAGTTTACACGTGAAGAAAATAAATTATTCAGGATAGGTTTAGGTTTAAAATAAACTTGTTTATACTGCAACTTCTCTCCATTCCTCTTACCACTTCTTGTCCCCATCACCTAATGGTTTTGATATAATAATTACACAAGAAAAAAGTAGCTCTCGTTTAATGACCGGAAAAATATTTATAAAGCAGTTTATACTTAGTGTAAAGAAGAAAATCTCTAATTGCTTTACAGAAGAAATAAAATGAAACGCTTATTACTACTATTGTTTCAAAGTTACTATTTTTTAAACTTAAAATTTATAACGTTATTTTATCTTTATTAGTTGTAGACTTGGTCGATTGATAGGCGCGATATGTTGAGGGTACATGCACTGATAGTTGTCCACAGTTCCTACTTTGAATGATGTAAAGCAAAAAACAAAGGTGGGAAAGGAATCGGATCTAACGTAGGTGGACATATATATATATATATATATATATATATATATATATATATATATATATATATATATGAATGACAATTTAGACTGACCTACAGGAATTTATGCCGGAAAGAATATCTCAGGGTTCGCGTGTTACGAAGATTTGAGCAACTGACGAGATTTGCAATCATCTAGAAAATTATTGTTGACATAAACATATGTACATGATTTTCTTTCATAGGGAATGAACTTAGAATCTTATACGCTCATTAAGGCTGTTTATTTTCTGTTCCACATGATGATTAGGTGTTCTCAAGTGCATTATTCAAGGAGAAAGATTAACTTCACTATTATTAATGGGATACACACAAGTTAAGATCAAAATATTATGAAATAATGAACAGTATTTCGTATGAATGATTATATATTTGTAACTGTTGTGTGCATCACTGATATGTACATTTCTATGTGGGTATACAGTCTTGTACACAAACAGACAAGATATGGATTCAATAAATTATGTCACGCAATACCTGAGGAGAAAAGTAGAGAAATAGCAGCTGTCTTTTATCATAACAAAATTCCCATTTAAATAAAGATTTCTTTGAGTTTACCCTAGTAATGAATTTGACTGTGTGACTTAATGTTCTACCGTAACGTTTCTAAATTAAAAATATGGAACTTTATCTAACAAATGCAAACAGTCAACTTGTCGACAAAGTATAATAAGAGACACTTATGTAAGGGTAGAACATAGACATTATAGCAGTGTATTTATTTGCTGAATGTTTTCCACAATGAAACAGTCATAATTACTGGACGAAGTTTCCGAACTAAAAAAAATATTTGATCAAAATACAAATACACCTGAAGAGTTTACTCTGATCTTCGCGCATTACTTGTTTCCATCAATGATGTATAAACTTGACTTTTGCAAAAAAATTGGAAGCCACGTTTCACAACATAGGGAACACTAGTATAGAATACCTTAAAAGAAGAATCCATTAACTTTTCATTGGATGGGCATAAAAGAGTGTCATCTCACAAAATTTATAAGGCAATGAAAATAATACGACAACAGAGAATATATGATCCTCATTAAGTAAGGAAACAGTAGATGAGATGTCACCTTCAAATAAAACGTATTGGAAATGTCTATTCAATCAACGAGTCAAAATATCTCGAAATTCAATCATACTGCTGCATTTTGGTTGGCAGATGAAGAGATGCACCCCCATAGTTTACAAGTAGGGCTGGTTTATCGAAGTTTCCCTGTAACTATTAGTTATTATTAGCCAGCAAGTAGATTTGGTTATCCATACACACATTTACATTAATCCAGTCGCATCAGAGTTTTCGTTGTCCAAATTCATGCTCTTGAGTTACCATCATGTATCTTACTATTCAGTCCTATTTCCATAAAAATTGTCAATAAATTGTAGAAGCAAAGAAAACATACTTGACATTGATTATTAATCACCTTTTTATATAGACAATCCTTCTGCAACTGGATTATGTAAAAGATTGTGCATATTTTGTATGATGTCAGGTAACTAATAAAAAGGACAAACACAAAATATTCACGAAATCTAATCTTTCATGCTGCTCATAGCTTAGAGGTGAAGAATCACATATATCATTGATTGTGATCTAAATCGATAGATAATCTTACTGTTTAACAAATTTATTGTTACTAAATAAGGCAGAAACTGTGGTCTATACTTTTGTTACCTAGATTTGGAAATTCATGGTAGAATTTGGAACACATTTTTAACGACGTGAACTAACCATAGTGTCGAAGGTTTTGGCTTCAATATATACAATTGGTGACAGCACAGATTATTCACCAGTCGCTTAACATAATAAAAAACTAATGTTCTACAACTCGACCTTTTCAGTTTCCTTTGAAACGAAATAAATTATGCGTTCGCTAATACAATTAAGTCTTGCATTGTTCATCAATTCGTTGGCTCATTATTGCTTCGTATCCTGCTACCGTCTCTATTATCTATGTTATATTTATCGTGTGCTTGTTACCATTTCCAAACAAATATGCCTGAGCTAGATTATGCATAATTTATTTAACTCAATGCCACATTTTTTTGTCATGATTATTATTTTTATTATTTATCCTTTGGGTTCCTAGTGGAACATAGGGCTTCAGTAGCACACTGCCATTTCACTCTCTTCTCTCCAGTCTTTTCAACCTGGCCCTACGAATACCCACAACCTTTCATTTCTTCCTCGCATGATCTACTCCATGTTACCTTCACACGGCCAACTCACCATACTCCCATTTCGCTTCCATCCGAGGGCCTGGCCTGGTACGTGATGTCCCCAATCAGTCTTCTCAGTGTATGCCCAATCCAATACATATACACTTTCCCCTGCATATATGTTGGGTGATGGGATGGTTCTTGGTCGGTTCGTTGACAGGCCAGAGTTCTTTGTTGCTTATTCTTGTTATTCTGACCATCTGATCATCTTCAATATCGAGATAGCGTATGCAGCAGCTGTTGATGAATGACTGTAGTTTGTTGGAAATGCTTTTCTTAGTTTCTGAGCAATACAGAAGTGCTGACTAGACTTTGGTGTTTAAAATCCGGATGTTGTTCACACTTTATGCTGAGTGGGTGGAGTGGGGTGCAACAGATCTCCACACTGATTTCAGATTGATGAAGGAAGGCCTGTCTTGTTGTCTTTCCGATCCTGGCTTTGATATCCCCAACTGTTAGATGATTTTGTAGCGATGTTTGACCAGAAATCAACTTAACCTTACATATCTATCATTCTAGACAAGATTCAACTCTCAGGACTCTAAATATACTGAGTTCAAATATATGTGTTCTACTTTCGATGAAAATCAGTTTCCTGATAGAAGAAGAGATCCTATGCTTTTGTCTATAGGTCAAAGTTTGATGGATAACTAAGTAATTATCATTTTAATGCATGATAAGAAATAGCCGTAAGGACTCTTTAATCTATAGGATGATATCAACGGGAGAAATACTAGGAAGTATGAGGCATTTAAATGCCCAAGATAAAACCATATTCCTCTTTTCGTCGGTGGACTGATATTGTAGTGCATCAAGGTGACGGTTGCCTAAAATATTCAATGAACTGAGGTAGGTATAAACATAAAGTGAGGAGGGTTGGTTTTCAGTGGTTGAATGGTTAACGCTTTCGCCGTGAAACCTGAAGGTCCTGAGTTCGATCCCTGACCAGGTCGTGGGTACGTACTGTCGAGGAGTCCCATACTGGACGAGATAGCTGTCCAATGCTTCCAGATTTTAAATGGTTTCCCAACTGATGTCAATCCGTGATGAATACTACTTCTAAATTGAGAACTTTATTTTAAGTGCAGGTTAGCCTAGTTCCTGGCAGTAAAGTCAAACTTTAAATAAAAGACTTTTCCATAAAACATCTATTTGTCATCAAAAAAACTGGGGCATAAATCAAAATCTAGATAATACTAGTCACAAATATGATGTAACACAATCATAATCCTCCTACCAGTCAGCATGAAATACTATAAGAATTTGTTGAAAAAAAAGTTCCAAAGGATTTCACATCATGTAAGGTCTTTAGTCACCATTTCACTGAAAAGTTTACTTTTCTCACTGTCTAAAAGAAATATCTAGACGAAGTGAAGTGACAATTTTCTTTAGAAAAAAGCTTTACAGAATTACATTTATCAACTGAATAAAGAGAAACTTTGTGTTCATTGTCATACAGCTGACAACATCCGCTTTAAAATGAAACATTTAACACAAAAACTGAATCGTATGGATATTTCTTTGATAACGAATTCACAGGTATGAAGTTAGATTGATCCTATCAGAAAATACAATTTGGATACATAGCCATTTTCATCAAGATGAAGGTTTTATTACGCTTTATTTAGAGTAGATATGATATTTATATATATAAATATCAATTATAAATTTATGCCAGTAACTCGTCACTAATGTTGTGATAAATTTTCCTCAGTAATATTTTTCTGTGATTGATTTTAAAGCCTTATCATTTGATCGACTGGTGACGGAAAATAGGCTTGTCTCTCACCTGTATCACTGCCCGTTCGACTTAACGAGAATTGAAGGAGAAGCCTGTTTGCAGGTAAGTGGTATTTTTCCAGCAGCGAATTCTTGTAGTATGGTTTTTTGTCACATGAAAGTTTAGAAATAATATCCTGCTTATTTTCATTAGCACTGTAATTTATAAATTTTTTACGTTATTCTTCATTAGCAGGTTGAATGATTTCCGCTTCTTACTGAAACATCATATGATATATTAATGATGGCTAGTGGTTACTAGTGGAAACTAGGGCACATGTTTCGTCCTGTTTAGGACTCTTCAACTTATTATACCCGCCTTCCAGTGAGCCATGTTGTTCCTACTGGGACTGCAATATGTGACCAATCGCCTCAAACACCAGAGGGTTATACACTGGACCACCGAGTCACGATAACCACTTCTTGTTCGATGGGCATAGTTTTAATGTTGTTTCTTTTATTATCTCATCGTTGAGTGGACCATATTTGTCGCTCTTTATCCATAATTAATGTATAATTTAAATACAGGCAATATCCAGGCATCCGCTCATGAGCCCATATTTCAATGGAGACCAATCAATTCGGTCCACTTAACGATGGGATAATATAAGCAAGAACGTCTTCATTCGACGTTGACTAGATGGATGTTATGACTAAAAGATTCTGAAATTAAGCACTTTGTCTATCAACGTATACTATTCGATGAATCACTGATTTCTTTTTCAAGACAAACCCGAGATAGTCAGATGTAGCTGGCAAGACGTCATTCTAAAGATTACCGTACCTTTTTCGATAGTTGAACCGACAATACTAAGGTCAACGTATGATACTATCCATGAATGTTTATGAGATAGTTTTTCGGAAGCTGTTTGGAAGTTGACTATGGAAATTGGCTCATGATCATTAGAGAATAAAAACTGATTTCAGGTTGGTATTCATAATAGACTGAAATCAATAAAATCCCCATCAGCTTCCAAAAAGAGTGAAAACTGAATTCAAGGGGGGAAAAATTGTCGCTGTTATGACTACGAAATATAAACCCTGCAAGAAAAAGAAACCACTGTCCATTTCTATATTTTCCTGATGTCTTTGTTATTTCAGTTTTGGTGGTACACAAACGAGGGTTCGTAATATGTCAAATCACTATTTTGGTATCATATGACAAACTATCACCCGTAGAAGTTCAATGAACTTCTGATAAACGAAACTTCAGGCAGTCGTATGCAAATGCTGATTGTTTTCACCCTTTAAAACCACCAATTGATTAAAGTCGTGAAAAGTATTCGACATTATACTACTTCGAAGTCATTGGCTAGCTGTTTTTATGTAAACCGAAAGTATTCAATCTTTAGAGGTAAAATAGTAAAAACTTTTCATATAGATGAAATTAGTCAGAAATCCTACTTGTTGTAAAGAGTTTACAATATAAGACGATTTTTTTTATTACTTTTAAAAAAACTTATTTTGTTTTCTCTTTCTAGGCTCTGAATGGATTCATATTTATTATGTCATGTGATGGTGAAGTATTCTCTGTATCAAGGACTGTTGAACATTACTTAGGTTTTCACCAAGTAGGTTGACAAACAAAGAATTCCACTGTTCTTATAACTTACGAGTATTTGTCTCTATTTTGAATCATCCATCTATAGGAAGACCCTGTGAAATAATATAACTGCTTAAGTAGAATAACCTAATTTTTAGAGACTTGAGAGTGAACCACTCCTTAACTAAAGCCTATTGGAACTAATTTCTGTCATATGCTTGAATGATCTTTTGGTATCACCATATGCATCAAACTTTGGATGGTAAAAGTAGTTTGTTGAATACCGCGGATTTGTATTACTGCTGTGCTGCGAAAATCCATAAATTAAAGCATTTCTTGTAGCTACAAGTATGCATCAATCACAGATAGAGGAAAGAAAAGATCGGAACCAATCTGTATTTGGTGGTGGAGATCAAATAATCACTAAGTAGTTTGTTATACAACTAATGGAAATGTGAAATATTACTGTAAACTAACATTTTTTAAATGCTTTATTATTTTCTAAATTAACTTCAGTCACTCGTAAGATATTATGGTTAAACATGTTTGGAAAACCGATCAATTCAGCGAAATTTGGTAGGGTTTTTGTAAGTTTTCTACTACTCCTTAAAATCAGAATATTATATCGGTAGGTATTCATACAGACAGTTAGCTATGATCACAGTTAACCTTCATAGTAGGTGGATTACCGCCTGGTAAATGTTAAATATGGTACTCAGGCTTTCATTAAAGTTGTATATTGAGTAACTTTGTGTTAGTTTTTAATTTCAATACAGTAACAAATTGTTTAACCCTAGTTACAGAAATAATCAGTCACAGAATGAATGAAACCAATGAGTTTCCAATATGGAAATTTAAATTCCAATGTTTTTTTAATAATTCATTCATTGTCATTGTTGTACCAAAAATCATTGAATACGTCACTTACATTGTTTAAAAGTTATGAAATAAGTTTCAGTATTCTAACATTCTATTAATGGTAAATAACACAGTAACAATCCTTCACTTATCATTTAGTTGACTTTATGAATAAACCTGTTTAGTGATATAATATTTGAGACAACTCATTATGGTACCTCATAATAAACTGCCAGAGTATCATTCACTGTTAAAGGCTTGGCTGCAGACAAATATTTATGAAAATAATCTTTTTAAAATACAAACAATATTGCCTTTTACTTAGGATGTAACAATGGGATAATTCAACACATGTACAATTTCTTCCCTTTGGGATTAGGTATATTTAATAAGAAGGACATATAAATCCGGATGTTAGACACAAAAAATAATATTTTACTGGATAGATTTCATTAACTTTCAGAATGAATCTATCTACAACCAAGATTTCGTAAGTAAACTACACATAATTTATCACCTGGTCAGGTGCAAAACCTCTATGATAACAAAAACTGGGCACCTGCAGATTACTTCACTTTGGATAGACTGATTTGTGTACAATTAACATGAAAGAAAGTAATTCCAGTTATCTTTAGGAATAATTCTAAAAATTTTGTGTCAGTAAGTTCAACAACCATTTTATGAATAATAAAAATAATAATATGTTGAAGTGAGGTCATGACCGTATAACAAACACCGGAACAGCTGATTTCAATATTCCAAAAATGAGAAGAATAAGTGTCTGTTTATTGTTTACTCAAAGTCTACAAATAATATTTTTACCGAGATTTTGCTGTATTTAGATCAAGTTTATCTGTAATTGATCGTATGAGATGAAATTCGATTACCACTGTATAATATCTACATTTTCTTGATTTAGTTACGAACTAACATTTGTATGTACAGCTTTATCTTTTAATAAATGACACTTGTCAGCATTTGTCATCAGATATAATCTTTCATAAGTTATTTATGGGATCTCTTTAACTAAAACACAATTATATTGGTTGAAATAGTCAAATTCAATTTTGTTAACTAACTCACTACAGGTCAATTTTCTGTTTTCTCATTTTTTGACTACGAAAAGCTGATATTTTACGTTGAACTTCTTTTAAACCTACAGGCTGATATTCTGCACCAAAGTGTTTTAGAACTCATCCATTCAGAAGATAGAGAGGAATTCCGTAAGCAACTATCTTGGCGATCGATGCTCCCAACAGAGTTGCAGTCATCCACACTACATGACCTAATGAATCCAGGTGAGAGAAGTTAAATAATACAGATACATTCTCCAGTAACGTAAATGATAACTTTTGATGGCAGTCATACCGAAATTTATCACCAGGTAGAGAAACATTAAAAGGAGACTAGAATATGGCCTGGTGCAATGGCTTCTGTGGAATATATTGAACCTACCTCACTGGTTAAAACAATATTCCTACCAGTCACTCTTTTAAAAGCATCCAGAATATAGCTGATAAAATCATTCACATAGGAACTTGTTACTACATCCTATTTGTTGGAAATAGATCGGATCGGTTGTTAAAGGGTGCACCTCTTGTCCACTGTTGTAAAGTGTAACCTCCTCGTCATTATTACACATTCACGTAGAGAAGACAGAGGTGATGATGATACCCAACCAACACCACTACCAGCAACATCAAAAAGCTCCAATCACCATCAATGGGAGAAACGTAAAGGAAGTAGCCTCCTTCACCTATCTAGGCAGCATCGTTTCAACTACAGGCGGCACAAACGAGGATGTCAAAGTAGCCAGGATTGGAAAGACAGCAAGACAAGCCTCCCTTCATCAATCTGAAACCAGTGTGGAGGTCAACTGCACTCAGCATGTGGAACAAGATCCGGATTTTCAACACTAATTCAGTCAGGCAAGTCAGTGCTTCTATATGGTTCAGAGACTTGGCGTGTCACGAAAAGCATTTCCAACAAACTACAGACATTCATCAACAACTGCCAACGCTGGCTCGTTACTGAAGATCAGATAGCCAGAGTAGTAAGAATGAGCAACAAGGAACTCTGGCAACGAACCAACTAACCAAGAAGCTGTTGCTCAACAAATATGCATTAGAAGGAAGTGGAGATGGATAGTGCATGTACTGAGAAGACCATTCGGGGACACCAGGTGCCAAGCCCTCGAGTGGAACCCAGATAGTAAACAACGAGTTGAACGTCCGAGGTGAGGGTGATATAGAGGCGATGGTGTGAAGAAGAAATGAGAACTTGTGGGCTGTCGTGGAGCCAGGTTAAGAGGACTGTAGAGAACAGAGTAGAATAGAGACGTGCTACTGAGGCGCTATGTTCCACTAGGAACCCAAGACACAAATAAAAATAATAATACTACCACACATTTAACTAGTTGTTAACGGGCTGGAATGGATGTTTACTGGTTTCTTCAACTTACTCACTTGTCAGTAGATGACCATTCTCTTAAGGTTCAGATGACCGGCTTTTAAAAAAATCAGAATTTACTTGCTAACAGAGGTTAACAAATTTTTACTAGCTAGTTTTCTAAGAAAATGAAAACAAACTTGAGATTCATTAAATATCTTATGATTATTATTATTTTTTACAAAGGTGTTAATGCTTTCAGTATTCCTTGTCAATAGAAAAATGATTTTGTTAAAAGCTTTTCAATTATTTCTGTTGTACAGAAAGACAACTAAGGATATTTTTATAAACTGTTTGTTATTAAATACAGAATATTAAAACTTTTTTGTTAATTAGTTCATCAAAACGTTCTCGTAATTTTGCATAACTTCCAACATTTTATATTTGCGAATGAAAATAAACAAGCATTGAGAATAAGCTAAAAAGAAAACAAATACCTAGCGGTATGTATTTCTCAATCATTCTTTGTAATGAATACTTTCATATCAAGTAATTACTAACAAACCTCTTAAATAGATGTTATTTTTCAAATCCCAGTCAACGAAGACCTGATATTCAGAACACCACCAACGGTTCATGACTTGAAGTCAGGATTTACCCATTCCATATATATCACTAGTATTCATCTAAAAATGCTTTGATCCCAAAAGATCTATGAAGCGCACAGAAAAAAGCTTACAGATCTCTGAATCCAAGCGTTTTTAGTGCAATATATTATGTATGTATGCTCTTTTCCATTGCTTAACGGTATATATAATCAAGTATGTAGAGTATCCAGCTGACGAGTACTATTGAAATTTATGAATCCACTAAATCCTGCTTTTTTTTTTACACTTGTTGCTTGTTCCAATATATTATCATTCATAAAGGCCAATTTTTATGGTAACTTTATCCTAGTTATTGATGGCTGAAAATGCTTTACCAAGCCGACCCTTCCCTTAAAACTAACTTCTTTTCTACTTTAAATTCATTTCTAGAAAATGCTCATTTTTTGAAACGCCAATTTACAGTACGATTTCGATGCCTTTTAGACATACATCTGGATTCATTGTAAGTCATTCATTGTGAATACTGGATTTCAACATTTTTCTTGGTTTTAATCTATAAATGTTTACTAAAAAAGGCTGACTAGATATTCGTAGCTGTCATCTACCTGAAATATATTCCAGGTAATATCAAAACTATTTTGTTGAATATCATATACTAAGTTGTCAAAATGGAGTTGAATTTCACCTGATGTCACCAGACCGTCTTCATTAGATCACTCGATGGTACAGAAGTTAATTTCACCTAAACATTTTCATGCGGATTTACTGAACTCAGATTACTTGAACAATTTAAAAAATAAAGGGGATATGAAGTTGTATATAATACGAGTATAACGTTTTTCAAGCTTCTGGTAAGCAATGGCAGACTGGTAATAAGCAAAACTAAAACCTAACTGAGGCACCATTTAGGTGTTTTTTAGTAGTAAGACCTTCATCCATATATTGAATTCTCATCGAGCATTGTCGAGTCAATGCTTCAAAACACAAAGATTTTAGAAATAATGAATCTTCGCTTGTAGCGGTAGTACAAGTCTTAATTAGACGCTATACGACACTGGTCACTACAATATAGAGCTAAATTTTCTCAACCTGTATCATCATGTCAATGCAATATCTTGCTGGTATAGATTGGTTGCATGAGTCATTCCATTTTCAAATAGAAGTTGACAGACTATGACAAATAAGCTTAGGGATCTTGCAATTAATTGATAGAGTATTCAAAATTAGAGACACAGTTCTATATTTCATTTACCATTGCACAAATTACCCTCTCCCAACACTCTTCGCACATGGTGTGTAAGGTACTTCTTTTCATTATTATGCATGTGTCTATAAACTCTTTTAAAATACATACTGCTTATATTAGAGTCACATTTTTCATATTTCAGACACTTGAACTTAGTGGTAGATTGCAATTTTTGCATGGTCAGGCTAGAAGTATGCAACTGGCAGTCAATTCTGGACATATCAATGCGAGCAACAATGCAAATTTGATGACTAAGTATAACACTTCATGTTCTTACTCTAGTGGATCGACTTCTAATCAACACAATCTACCTCCACTTGGACTTTTTGCAGTCTGTAGTCCACTTGGACCATTACCGAGCTTAAATGGTCCACAACGTGATGCAACTTTTAAAACGAAGCATCAGCTGGATTTAACTGTTATTACAATTGACGCACGGTAAGTAGCTAGAAATTAAAATAACAAAGACTTAAATATTTCACTGTCTACATTGATAATTCTAATAATTAATTAGTTTCCAACCATCTAGCTACGGTGTCAACAGGCTTTGCTTTGAAAACCATCCAGTCAAGGTCATAAAGCCAGCCTTCTGACAGAATCTCATGAAATAACTAAATGTACTTCTGAGCAACATGAGAAGTAAGAAAATCTTCGTGCCGATGAGCTTAGCCCCAAAAGAGCGAAATGGTCATTCAGTTTGTAGATCAATCTGATCTAGCTAGAGAATCTACAGGTCGGCTAGGTATTTGTTTGATTATGAATGCTGCTGAAATATAGTGAAGATAATGGCTACGATTATTCAGAAAATAATGTGAAGTCTGCAATGAAGGTTAAACCAGGAACTACCAAACATTCTACGGTACTTGTATGTACCATGTGAGTAACCGAACTTAGCAAATTATTATCTTTTGATGCATCTACCACTAACATTTGTCTATGAGAGTTTTCGTAATGAAGTGGATGAATTTATTTGTGTAAATGAATGTGTCAGGCCATTGGTTTAAATGTTGTCAAATTCATACAACAAGTTATTCAAACAGCACTATGAACAAGTTTTTCGTGGATTCTTTGTTGTGGTGTTACATGAAGAGAATAGAAATGTAAAGACATTAAGATGACAGTCATATCTATTCAAGTATGCATTTATGGATTTCATAGTATAGCAATCAAATAACTCTTCTCGGCATAGACGCCTATTGTTTATCTATTTAAGTATAGTAAAAATAATCACGCAGAGTTCTCGATATATGGAAATCTATTCTGAGAGTAAATTAATACCCTGTGTACCTATAAAAATAAATACATCTTCTGTTGAAAGTATATAAGAATCAAACTGGTCGAAATTATTATTGGTGAGGCCAATACAAGCCCATATATATAATAATGACCTATGAACCACAACATTCATTAGGTAAGTAATCATAGCTTTGAAAACCAGACTTTGGAATGACAGATAGGAGAATATACAGTGATATTTGAAGCGTTTTATGCGTCAGCTATACGTGAAGAATACAAGTATACATTTAGATGACAACACTTGACGAAACAAATTTAAAGTGAAATCATTCAAGAAATGAGAGATCATCAGTATGTGCTTCATGAGATGCATTGGTTTTCGCTATTTATTTTCACTTCACTTCTTCATTGAAAACTCATAAGAATTAACCTCATTGTTACTACTTAGTTACCGTGAGAGCATTTTAGTCACCACCCCTTCTCCCATGAAGCAATGTACTACAATGACCAAAGTAGTGTGCCTAAAAAAACACATTCTGGTTAGAAAATACAGACTATTTTTTGAGAAAAGGACCTTGGATAATGCTGAATTATCTTCCCATAGCTAACTTTCAAGTACACAAAATTTTAGAATGTAATTTTTAAATATTGGTTATTAATTTGCACATGTTATCGTTTCTTTTGAAATTGTATGCAAACCTCCATTATAGGGCACGACTTCTATTTAACTATTCCGATGCGGATTTACAGAATTTCAAAGTCTACGATCTTGTACATCCAGATGACTTACGTTTATGTTGCAAGAGGACATAAAGAACGTAAGTTCACAAGGAGTTTGTCTTCCCTTTGAAACGTATGCTTTGCTGTTAAATAAATACTCGGAACATTTCAAGCCAGATGAAATGTTTGGTTACTGGAACTCCGTTGGCACACTGATGCTGCCTTCTGTATGAGAAAGTGGGATAGAAAAGGCTGGCCATAAAAATAGCATACTTTCCTCTATACCGCGGCATGCTGGTCATAATCAGATTTGAGTAAAACAAAATAAGCTGCCAAACTACCAAAATAGCCGGTTTCAAGTAGACATCCTTTAGTCTCTACTGTCACGCATTAATACTTATTCTCCAGGTTCTTCAAGGAGAACTAGCCTTTCATTGTGTAAGCGGCCGGGAAGTGCAGCTGATCACAACCCTGTCTGCACTCAAGTTCCCTCAGATCACTTCTCACCACCTACATTCTAACTTTCTAGTCTTCATTTACATGTCTCGGTCAATAATTTTAAATTATCTTTAACTTCTTCCAGCTCTTCAGCTCTTGACAAAAATATGGGTTCACGGAACAGCGTCTTTGGTCTGCTGACACTGCACTCCAACTACACATTAGGACCTTTAGTGTACACATCGTTTATCAAATCGCCCAGCAGGTTTCGCTAGACGAAACTCCTACATCTCAGGCTATTGATGTGTGCTGTGTTTGTGAGATATATGTACAGCATTAGAGTGTCCTTATTCTCCTGCCTTCACCTAACCAATATGATGAAGGTACACTTTTCATTCTTCAAGATCCTACCGATTCGAAGATTGTTTCTCTTAAGCTTCTATGTGTAGCTATAGCAGAAAGTTCACTGCTAGACTAGATCCTAGTTGGCATTCACTTGTAAGCTGCCTGACTTGATGGTGAAGTGATGACTTGAAAAAGTAAGAAAACTCGTCGCTTTCTCTATGTAATCCCTGCCCACACTGACTGCAATTCAGATGAAGTGTTAAGGTGAGTTCGACAGAAAAATGTCTATCCTTCCTACTGAAAGGCAGGTGCCCAAATGCCATTGTCGTACTAAGTAACTTCCATGTATTAGCGAGTATGCTGAGTCAGAGAGGAAGGCACACACGTTGTGTTTTCAGAACCAAACCCAAACGAATAGATAACGGCGACCAACTGTTACAACTATGCTTAGACAATAATTTATTTCTGATCAGCACTCACTTCACACACCAAGAGACATTGTTTGACGTGGTGACCAATGACCTCAACTTATTGGTGGACACAGATCCTGCCACCTCTTGTCGCTGGAGAGGGTAAGTGAGAGATTAGCGCTCCTTCTGGAGTACGCGTTTTGAAAGTGACTGCAATTTGGTTCCAAAACAAATATGTCCGTTTCTAAGTGGATGCAGGAAAACTATAACAGCAAAATCATTGTGAGTACAGCTCGACAATGAGAGCACTAATGATGCTTTCATCGAGAAACCGGCTAGAAATTAATCGCAATCGAACAACGTTACTCATCCAAAAGAAGCATAGAGCCACCCCTAGTCTGCTGTAAAAAAGCGCTGGAGACCGTACCCGACTGTTAGAGAGGGGTTAAAGAGGGCCATTGGATATCAGCAGCTTCTTCTGAATTAATGGACGCGAGCGAACATCTCCCTACAGGTTATGAGCACAGTGAAGAGAGGAAACAACTCAGATGTAGACTGGAAGAAACTCTAAACAATGACTGTAAGTAGCGGTGTGCAAAGAATGCTAAAAGGAGATGGAAAAGATAGTGGTGATGAGCAACAGTAGACAGTTATCTGGAATTACTAGGGAAGCTTGGTGAAAGGTCAGTGGTTAGTGCAACTGTGATGGAGAAGTATGGCTCTATGATTCACTCACAGGGGAGACGAATGGAACAATGGGAGAAACACTGCGAAGATCAGTTCAACTAACCTGCAGCTACTATTTTATTGACCACTGTCCAGTCGGATCCCGAATGGAACATCTTGATAAAACCCCCATGAGTCTGTGAAGAAGAAGAACAACAGAGTCAACTAGTTCCGGAAGTTTCGAAAGATGGCTGTAGGGGATTATTGATAAAGTTTACTGAATTGTTAACTGACTTGTGAAGGTCAGATATGAACCATTCTGACTGGTCTCAATCATTGATCTTCCCGGTCTTCAAGAAAGGTTAGACATTCTCTCATGATAACCAAGGGGAATCAGTGTGATGAAAAAAGTGTTCAAGATTCTTGGTTCTATTATCCTTAGACGTTTGATTAAAACTTGGGAACAGCAAACCCCAGAAAAACAGACAGATAGGCAGGCTTCAGATAGATGTATTTATTGGCCAGATGCTGGAGTTTGACTATGTCTATCAAGGGGTTTTATGCAGTATCTCACCGAAAGCTACACCTGGAAAGTATATCGGCCCGTTGAAGGTTCTGTGCTTCTTTCTCTTACTTAACTTTACCATAGACATACCCATGGAGGTCTGCCTTTCATCGTCTGATTTTACGGGGATGGATCTTATCACAGAAGAACCCTTGGTATACACAGAGTTCACATATGACATAATAATTTTACGTGAAGACTCTGACAAGATGCATAGTCTTCTCGACATTTTGAGTAGCTGATTACGAATGTTTGGGATACACTTCTTGCTACCCAGATGCAAACTGTTGCTTCAGAACTGGTCTTCACTGGTACCCTGTCTAACATTGGAAAGTGAAGTAGTTGAGTGCGTTGACCACTTCACTCGCATAGGAACTTTGAGCAGCCCTAGTGGTTCAGAGGCTGACAAAATCTCTGCTGACATACATAGATCTTGGTTGACTTTCTCCAGTTTACGCTATTCATAGTGTCACTGTGATATCCGACCTCCTAATAAAGATCAAGTGTAGTGTACTACAGTTCTCTCTGTTCTACTATATGGCTAAGAAAGATGGCCCTTCAAGGTAGAGGATATAAGAAGGCTTCAAGTGTTTGATTACGATTGCCTTTGTATCATGGGCCATGTGTAATGGTGTCATCATGTCAGCAATGCAGAAGTCGATGAGGAGTTTTATGGCGAAAAAGGAAGTTGATCGAAGTTGTTAACCTTCATCATCTCAGAGGGCTGTGACATGTGATATGTATGCTCAGTCACTTCATCTCTAGTGGCACAGTGTTGGCTTAAGTCAGTTTAAGTTGGACAAAGGTTATAGGCGGCCAGATTAAAACGTGACACCATTCGTTGAAGTCTTTTGCTTCTGCATTAATATAAGCGTAAAACTTGAACACTGAGGTAAGATGTAATTCCATTTTAGTTGATCAATTAGATATATCACACAGTGGAACGGTATTATTTACTGGATTATGTTTCGGACATAATCCATAGTCACATCAAGATAACTACACAACTCTGAGATATCCTTTACGTAGTCCTAATTTCCTCGCCTCCTTCGTGATATGGGTAGTAGGATTCTCCAAAGGGGCGAGGAGACCAGGACTGTAAAAAGGATTTCTCAAAGTTGTGTAGCCACCTTAGTGTGACTATGGACAATAAATTATGTCTGAAACGTTATCCAGTACACAATACTGTTCCATAGTGTGATATGTCGTAAATCTTTGACTGTTTGTCTGAGCCATTTAGTACAATGTAAGCTTCCCGTTTAGGAGAAACCAGTGGTTGTAGACTGTAGGTGACACGGCTCAGTAGCGTATATGTATCCAAACATTATCTCCATCTTAATCGTCATGCTGAATTCAGTATTTTTTTTATTCCTCCTTGCTATCTGATCACTACTTTCTACAACTTTTGGCTGATTTCTTCTCTATTTCTTTGTTTTTTTATCTGAGCGCTTTGCTGCTTGATGTAGTGATTGAGGTGTGGCAACTTGAACTGTTACACAGTAATGTCATGTCCTCTTTTGACATTATTTGTTTATCTCTTTCTAGATAATAGCTCGATAGCATTTCAACAAGTGTGTGCTAGAGTTCAGAATAAGTGGGTATGCTGACATAAATGAAAATATATACAACTGACGCATTCTAGATAGAATAAAACAAGTCCTCTGGATTCAGTTGCTAGGCATCACCCAGAGTAAGAAAGATAATCGAGATTTGTAAAAAATTTTCAAACAGTGACTCTGTTAACCCATCACTTAAAATTCCACACTCTAGCAAGATCATTTCATAAAGAAAAGAAAAGGAACTTCGGCACAGAAAAATTTCTTTTTCAACATTATCGCCTCCTAAAGCTGTATTTATATAAGTCATATTTATATATTCACATAAATCATAAACGTATAACGGTCTATTATTAAACAATAGGGGGTTATTGCATCATCAAGCTGGTGCCTAAAACCAAAATCAGGAGTGGATAGTAGTCGCGTAATAGTCTTTTAGACAATGGAAATAATAAGAAAGGCAAGGAACTTGAAAAGGCGGAAATTGCTGGTAGATGCGAAAGGCAAAGACTGATTTTCTACTCGGTCGATATAAAAAAGTTGAGGGAAGAAACAAGGGTCATAATGAAGGTGATAACAGTAAACTAACTAGTTATGATGAAATCTAAAATTGTGAAACTGTTAAGACCATGATAAGGTAAGAGACCGAACATACTTCTTCTGCATCATGTCAGGCTTGAATCCGTGAATTGCCAGTGCATCTGCTGTGCACAACTTTCGAAAGGATACCCCTCTTGAACCATTTCCTTTGACTCTGTGGGTGACACTAAAGGAGCACTCTGGTGCATCTACATGTCCAGAGTTGACCTAATGTTCAAGAAATGAAGTGCTGATTAATTTACATTCTCTCGTCAACAACCATGCAGGATAAGGCTCAAATATACACTTGGAGACTGGGCGCTTTGTTCAACCTATATAACTAGCTCAAAGGCAGCAAGTAAATCTGTAGACACATTTAAGTGGCTCAAGGAGGCAACTCATCCTTAAGACACTTCGGAATAATTGGTGACTCGGTAAATCTCGATGGGCATTCATTTTGTATAAGAACTTTCCATAGTTTGTCTAGCTTACTATCAATAATTTCATTCCTGCAGACTCTTTTGGTTCTTGATGACAAAGAATGAATCAGATTCCTTGTTCTGCTGAAAGGCGTCCGGCAACAAAAGCTCATGTACTATCCATTCCACCTCTCAAAGGAACCATTTGATATCCGTTTCAATAAGACCTCAAAAAAATAAAATTCTGAGTCCTGACGTTCTGAAGTTAACCGATAGACTACAATCACTAAACTATTAACTGCAGTTCCAATATCTGAATGATGATTTTATCATCCATATATCTTTTACATTAGTAAACACTATGAGTTGCTGAACGGAGCGCACTAAGTTTGTCATGAATCCTATCAAAAACTGACTAGTAATACCTTGGATCTATGATAGACCGAACAAAATCTCATGAAAAGAAGTATGCTGAAGCACCAAATGGACTTTTAAAACGAGCAATGGAACAGTTGAACGAAGTTGAAATAGTGTTAATTTTAATTAATAACCTTTTTAATCAGTAACATTTATCATTTTCAGTTTTCAAGGTTGGCTCACTTGGCTTGCTCGTACACCGATGGCTGAATAAACAATGTCAGTGGGTATGGTTGCAGTCTCGAATAAAACTTATTATGAAAACTGGTAAACCGGATCACATAATTGTAATACATCGGCAGTTTGTCGTAAGTTTCAGTCAAGCATGCATCGTTGACACTTGAAATATTATCAACATGCTAAAATTTAATGGTCGTATATGGCTGAGAACGTACATTCCCTTCTCTAATGAAAATATGGGACAAAATGTCATAAAATGAGTTAAGGCTGGTCGTTATTTAATGATATCTATTGATAATCAGATATCCACTTTTTAATTCCACTATTTTTCCCCTGTTACCTTTAGAAAAGCCCAAACTGGAAGTTATTTTGCTTGCTCGTATACACAAACAAAAACACGGTTAGATCTCCTCAAACTGTGGGTGCCATAGTAATCAAAGACGATGTTTGTTCTTCCCTTAGTTTTATTGAATTTGCCTCATCAAGTGTTTCACACACAGTACTACACCTTGTTATACTTATTGTGTTCCAAACAAATAATGTCCAATTTCTAATAGATAACTTAGTCACAAACTGTACTGTTTATCGTAACTTTGACTCCAATAATTTTAACCAGACCGATTAAAGTATATTTGGATAAAAAAAATTTATTGTGTTTAAAACATAATCTTAATAAGTTGAATAAAGATATATTCATGTGAGCGCTACTTATAGCAGTGTATATCAGTAGTATCATTAATAAGTAACACAGAACGAGAAAATATGGTTGACTGGTCAAGATTTGGTAGAGAAGAAGGCACAACATCTACTAGACATATAGCGGATAAGACCATCTCACACTGAGAATGTTAACAAATGTGACTTTAGTGTAACGTCTAATTTTTCTTATCAGTGGGGATTGTAATTTCCTGCCCAATAATTCCTGAAGACCCATTCAATTCCCTTTTAATTATTACCGTCAGCTGCACAATGACGTTAGAAAATAAAGTAAATTAAATAATGTTTGAGCTGAACAGATGATTAGGCAGTAAGGGATGTTTAGAATCTAGGCTTGATCATTCGCGTTTCGATTTACCTGTAATGTATCCTAATGTAGTAATTTTAAACATAACCTTGACATAAACACCTAATAACAGACTAAAATGGAACGGCAATGTACCATAGTGCTCAAGTTTTGCTCTTATACTTATGGTTGGCTAGCTTCAAGATCCTGAGTTTTCACATTTGGTCCTATGTCAGCATTTTCTACTGGAATGTAAAATTTTTTCCGTGCTTAGTGAATTGAAATGAATCTTTAAATGAAGTCGATCCATGGTGGAAACTATGTAAAAGTACATGTTTATGCTTTGTTCATTGTTAAATATCTGTCACAAATTTTCATTTCAGGAATGAAGAAGGCATGGAGTTATTGATTAGGCGAACAGATGAATACAAATTACCCTTTCCGCTACTTGAACCAGAGACTTTGCTGAACGGTGAAGAACTTCCAGTAAGCAATACTAACTCCCAAATGGATATAAATTTAACATTTCCAGTATGTCAGACAAAACAATTTGATCACCACCTTAACGGAAGTAATGACAAAAAGCTGTATGGACTAAACATTAAGGTTGACAGAAAAATGAACCTAGGATCAAAGTATGCGACAGAGAAACTATCTAATTTTGATGTATGTGGTGACAGTATCGCACTTAATCTTAAGCGAGCTAACAGCAGGCATATGACAGATACGATGACAAACTGTGCACAAATGGAAAGACATCCTAATAGACCACCTTTAGAAAGTTACGGTAACAATCTTCATTTATCTGGAGTCAACTCTAACTTATTAGAACACTGTCTCAACAAACCATGTCGACAGCCCAAGGTTATTCAGACCATGATTCGGCGAAGGAAAAGAACTGTAAAAGAAACAAATCCAGGTGAAGTGAACAAATGCAGACTTAATCACCGTGGTTCTTGTACGACTGCATGTCTATACATGTCATCTGAACTGACGATTAATCAAAATGATTACGGTACAGGCGTCCACCCATCAGCATATTTACCACTAGGTCTTAACCAAGCAATAACAAGAAACGGTGAGTCACTTTGTGGAAATCCTTATCTATGCTGGCCAGCAAACACTAATACCACTGCAGCATCAGAAACTCTCAGTCCGAGTCGATTAGACAATTTCGAACAATTTTCTCAATGTGATTCAGGCAAAGTTGGCTTGTTTATGATCAATTCACAAAATTCAAACCAAGATTTACATGAATTTAGTATGCAAGATCATTACCCAGCTAGAAACTACCCAATAGCGTATGATGCCTACTCAGCAGCGGTAGCTGCAGCTGCAGTTGTTGCAGCTGCCACAAACAGCTGTAATCAGAAGCAACAAAATCAAACTCATCACCGTTTATCATTAGGTCATCAATACCAGTCGGAAAACACACAGGATGATCAGATAAAACATTTTAAACGACATGACTTACATCCTTCACACATCTCATTAATTGCAAGTGAACCACAGGGACAACATCTGCAACAAGTGGTAAACAACACAAATCTGTTCGACTCACATCAAAGACGACAGTCTTTGATGGGATACAACTCACCATTAAGAAATGAAGGGACAGTTATTTCTTCCAACCTTCAGTCTACATTTAATAATTGTGCAGATTACATTTTATCTAATAATTACTTTTCACAGGAACAGGCATTTACTAACCAGGATACAGGAAGAAGAGATATAGAGTCTGGTAACTCATATATAAAAGAATTTTTGAAACCTGGACTTTCAAATCCTCCTCATCCACATATGAATGTCGATGAAATTAAAAGAGATATTCTCAGTGTTAATAATCATCATAACAGCAGCACTTTAAGTCAACCATTTTCGAATTACACAAGTATTAATCAAACCCATCTATTTTCAGAAGATTTTCGTGGTGAATCAATAGATGAGCAAAAAGATTCGTCATCTAACATGTATTTACAACATAATGTTGAACAAAAATTGATTTATGGCAATCCAGTTGTAGACAAAGAGTCATCATCAGCATACTCATCATATTCATCTCCACCTAACTTAACAAGTCCTCATAATAATGATATAAACATAGAGACAGACTCTGGAGTCAGTCAAAAGATACATTTACAAACACAGGTTTCAAAAATGATAGGGATAAATCGCCAGTTTGATGACCCAGTCAGTAATCCACTAGGCACCTCAGAGTGTGATCAGTTTTATGAATCTTCAAGTAACTGGACTTCAAATCCTCTACATGCCAATTATAAACGAACCCAAGATTTTCTTTCTGACCAGCGAATAGCAGAAGGAGATTGTGGTAATTTTCTCAAAGCATCTAGAGTTGCATCTACATCACTATCCATGGATTCCTCGAATTCCAGTAGATCGCCTACACCACGTGAGACGTGCATCAGTCGTCAGGATAATGTATTGGTTAAATCAGGGACAGAACATGAAGTGCTATATCATCGCAGCAATAACAGATCTGAACCATGGTCTTGTAGGGTGCAGCCAAATGAAAATGTTAAGGTTAATATCCAATCATATTCCGTGAAAGACTTCAATGACCACAAAAAGGATTTGCTAAATTCCCACTTGGAAGAAAATAAATGTTCACAGTATGATTCCATAACAATATGGGATGAGAACCGGTGAGTCGTGTGCACATTTGTTAAAGTGAATAGATTAAATTGAAACAGAAATAGGAAAGCATAATATTGTGTAAGAAACAGCAATAAATTGAACCTGTTTGACAGTGAAATTACTATCCCTACAAATTTGATGCCTAAAGCTCCATAAATACCGATAGGTATAATTGTGATCATGAAAGTTTATATGCGCATGCATTCTGAGAAATATTTTTACCACCCTATATGTAAATCCTCTTCAACAAGTATATGAAGTCTGAAGGTATCAAATGTAACAGTGCACCTTGAGCATTGTGATGGGGTACGATTAAATATTAGTTTCGTTGATTCAATAAAGCTTGCAAAGAAGCATTGTTACTTAGGGTTGTAATTTTTGATAGGCGTCGTTGTCCGCCGTCTAATAGTATCCCGTTAATGGTCAATTACTGATCATTCAACAAGCAAATTAGCCGGTCTTCTAGTTATTATTTAAAAAGCTATGTTCACATACTGCGATATTGTGATTACTGTCTTTGTCTAAATACATCGGAGACAAATGATTACCTTTGTATTATTTTGCACATTTTTAACTTGCAGTTATGACAGCCTGAAATCAACTGCAATTCCTGTGCCTGTGGTTTGCAGCGACCCGTTAAGTAGCATTTCTGATGAGTCTTCACATACAGTAAGTAAAACTAAGTATGTGTATTTATATATGTAATGTGTAATTTTACCGTGCAGTCTCCTAGGTTATTGTTAGTATCGAAAGAACTCTTTTGTAAACGAGGATCTTTGTGTTTATGCGCCAGGGTGCAATGAAATTACGCTAGAATTTAATGACTGATGTTCAACATATCCAAATTATAGTTATGCAGTCAACACACAGATAAGTCTTAACTCCCATTACAAAAATAATGATAGGAAGTAAAAGGTTTCTTTTTTCAACATTCATAACTTTTACTGCTTTGCATTTATCACTATTATTATTTGCACCTTGGGTTCCTAGTGGAATATAGGGATTCAGTAGCACATCGCCATTTCACTCTCTTCTCTCCAGTCTTCAAAACCTGACACAACGACTACCCACCACCTTTCATTTCTTCTTCACACTCAACTCGTCGTTTCCCCCTTGGGTTCCACTCAACGGCCTGGCACATGATATCTCCGAATGCTTTTCTCAGTGCATGCCCAATCCAATACATCTCCACTTTCTCCTGCATACCCGTTGGATGATGGGTTGGTTCTTGGTCAGTTTGTTGCCAGACCAGAGTTCCCTGTAGCTTATTCTTGTTATTCTGACCATCTGATCATCTTCAGTACCGAGCGAGCGTAGGCGACAGCTGTAGATGAATGACCACAGTTTATTGGAAATGCTATTCGTGACGTGCCAAGTCTCTCAACAATCACATAGAAGCACTGACTTGCTTGACTGAATTAGTGTTGAAAATTCGGATGTTGTTCACACTTAATGCTGAGTGGAGTGAGGTGGAGTGCAGTGCAGTGCAGTGGATCACCACACTGGTTTCAGATCGATGAAGGGAGGTCTGTCTTGTTGTCTTTCCGATCCGGCTTTCACATCCTCATCTGTGCATGAGTCGCATGCAGTTGAAACGATGCTGTCTCGTCTGGTTAGGTAGGAAGGTGAAAGAGATAACTTCCTTCAGGTTTCTTCCCCTCATGGAAATCGGAGATTGTTCTTGATTGATGGGTTGGTTGGTTGGTTGGTTGGGTAACTTCATCACCTCAGTCCTCTCTACATTCACTTGAAGTCACACATTCGCTGCCCTGAATCTTTTGCCAAATTCTTGGTTTTTGCCTGCACATTTTAGAGTTTGAGCAACAAGAAATTACACATAAATCATCATCATCATCATAATCGACGGCGAAATGCAAATATTCTTCTATGGTCTTTTCATCGGTCCAACTAGCGTACACCCACATTCTCGTTCCTCACAGTTGTCTGGTGCATGACCCAGTCCGGTCCGGTCCGGTCCAGTCCAGTCCACTGCAGTCCAGTTCAGTATAGTCCAATCGACCACAATCAGGAAGATGATCGGTGATGGTAGGCGGCAACCTTGTCTTACTCCTATCCCCTGTCTTCACTTCAAAGGCGTCACTGAGCTTTCCATTGTGAATCACTCGACATGTAGCGTCCTCATAAAGCATGTAGCTGCTGTTGAATGAGGTTGATAAGGATTTGTGTTACTGAAACTGTAGTGTTGAAGCAGTTGTCCGAAAATTACTTCTCGGTTGATGCTGTCGAAGGCCCTTTCAAAATCGATGAAGTCGATGTCTACCATTTTGTCCCGGTGACTGACTGACATGAAGATATCATTTGTATTTTCATTGTTCAGTTCAATTTCTGTTCTAGGTGTTCAACTTCAACTGTGATCTGTCTATCACAAACTTCTTCTTTGAAGGCTTTCAACTTGATTTGGAAGGTAGTTCCTTGCACTAGGTAGTGAGTGGTGTGAACCATCCACATCTACTCCCTTCTTCACCTAATCTCGTGTCAACCAGGCTGCTCCTCCACTTTATTCACATCGAGATGAAGTCGATCTGAATTTTAGTGTATCCTGGTATCTGGTGAAATCTATGTCACTTTGTGTATATCCTTGTGCTTGTACACACTGCCTCGCCTCAAATCAACAAATCATTGCATGCATAGAAGTCTGCAGACAGTTCTCCATTCTCGTTCATCACTTCAACGAGTACTTCTCGATCCATGATCAGTTCTCTTCCTGTCTTGTCCGCTCCCACTTCGGCATCCACGTCACACCACCCATTAGAATTTGGATGTCACTGTCACTGTCGCTATCGCTGTCACAGTCACCGTCTGGTGTCTTGTCCAGTAATGATTGCAGTTGTCTATAGAATTCCTCCTCCTTCTCCTCCTCTTCATCTGCATTGTTTGTGGGTGCGTAGTGTTGTGGCATTGTATGATTGTGACTTTCCTTCCATTTGAGTAGAATCTTGTTGTCATGATCCTGATGGTGGAGGAGACTGGTTCCCACTGCATGAGAGACAGCCTTCGATCCTCTTCAAGTGGACATCATGAGAGCCACTCCAAAACTCAGTGTGCTGTGCTCGTGGTTGTCATCTGGGTGACAATGTTGGAGTAGATTATTGACTCCTCTCCAGTTGACAGACAGTTGGGAGAGTCCAGTTGCATGCATGTCATCTGCTCTCACAGATTCCTAGTCTAGCACTTCTATGCTATACCTCCTCATCTCTTTTGCAATCTGGGCAGGCTTGCCAGCCATCTTGAAACATGGTGTGGACATTCCCTGTCTCCATTCTCACTTTCGCCTTCATCGGGAGAGAGAGGGAGAGAGAGAGAGAGAAGACACATCGGCCAATTGTCTTCGCCAAGGCTTTCACCAACCGGCGTCATTTCGTCTCTCCGATTCCAGTGAGGAATGAGTTTATTTTTGTTTATTATATTTTCTTTGTGCTTTGGAGTTTCTTTATAGATTGTTTGGATTTGTTTTGCGGGTTAGGGTTGCTAGCCTTATGCCTAACCTTCCTTCTTTATCCGGGTTTAGGACCGGTTAGTAACTGGTGAACTGGTTACTTAGGGGAATCTAATTCATTGACTGATTACAAATGGAACACCTTTAAAAAGTTTACTTCTTCAGTTTACTTTATCACGTATCAGTTAACTAAGCTGAACTATTTTTTATTGATATATAGAAGTAGGAAAACACTATCAACTGATCTGTATAAGGAAATGAATCCCTTATCAACTATACCCTCTTCAAGAGATATCTTGTACACATTTCATTAGCTATGACCAGTCTGACCAGCAATCGTGGATTTTGTAAACTATATTACGATGCAGCTAAAACTAGTACATCTTTCAAAACAAAACTGACAGAGTTAACAGACTGTTGCAAACTGTTACTTAGCATTATAATTAACAAATCATATTGTTAGAGACTGCAAATAAAATCAGCGGGCAAAATCAATATTTGGTTACATTTCACTAGGTTTTCAGTAAACTAACTAGCATTTTAACAAGACTATCGAAGTGTAACTTTCTAATCTAAATTAATACGATAAATTGGCGTAAAAAGTCTAACAGTAATATGAAGGAACTAAAGAAGAAGTGTTATTATATGATCAGGTTAAGTTACTGTCAAACTATAAAGATTTCATCTTTAACAATATATGTAAAGGATAATAGCAGTACATTTTTACTGAGTTTAGTACCTAAGCACAATCCAGAAACCTGTTATATTTATAAGTCACAGTATGATGAGACATGCTTCTTTCAGTGGCAAGTGATAATCTTAGTTCATCGTTGGAGTACTAGAATCCAATTACCAATCCCAATGACACAGTACCACAAAGTTTTCCCTCACAACGTACATTCTGATTCGTTTTTGCCGTGATAACCAAGTTCTTATGGTTTCGGTTGTTGACACCAAAAGCCAATGCATGTCAACTGAGTTTAAGAAATACCAGCTAATCGACAAATTAGAAAAAAGTAATGTAGCAAATGCTTATGTAGTCACCTAGCCGGATGATGAAAAGTCCAAAAACAAACCTTGAAGTTAGAATAACAATGAGGTTAGCTATCCAAAGTAATTATCCTTAGTTTTATGATAATTAAGGCCACGTATACGTACAACAATTGAAACTATTTGTATATTATGATCATCAATTTCCCCGATTAAGAAAAAAGCTAAGTTAACACCTACGAACTCACACGAAACGTCAACTGATTTTCAAGACCGTTTTATAATATCTCATAGAATAGATTTAGTCTAGAAGGAGTAAAACAAGTTGTGATGTAGTGATTCAGATAGCAAATTGTAATACGGGACTTTCTTTAGATGCCTAATTTAAAAAAAAGGTTTGTTACATGGGAACTTTAGGACTGGTTGACTGACTGACAGAATCAACGTAAAACCTTTCAAAGTAATGTTTCGGTCCACGCTACTACACTTCACAGAAGTACACATAGAACGGGTGGATAGGGAAGGAATGGTATCAAAGCAGATAAAGTTGTGTGAGAGAATAAACAACCGAAAGATAAACGTTGGTGCCAATATTCAAGCTTTAGAAGATGTCAAGGAGTGAAAACATCTGCACCATCGTGACCGATTTTCAACCTTACCACCAAGTGTCCTCAAACACTGGTTCCTTTCGTCTTAGGGACCCCAGCCACATGGCTCAGGTGGACAGTAAAAGACTTCATTGATTGATGCTAGGTCTTGTTCTGGCCAAACAAACCCTTTTCCATCCTAATCCAAATTACCCCAGCATGGTATAGTAATACTAGCTTGCATCTACTGTACATTTTCTCCGTCGAAGTTTATTAAGTAAGGCTTTCAGAGAAAAAGGGATTGTTCACAAACTAAACCAGTAGATTTAAACATCTGCGTTTACTGGAGATTTTCCGTCGTCTATTTTACAAGACTGAACTGGTGAGTCTTTTTTGAATGTAGGCTTGGATATAACCTTAATACTGGTTTGAACGTTATTTTTTGGTGAAGGCTTACTGTGAGACTTGTGACATTCACGTCTACCTACTTTACGTACCCATACGCAAATGGATAAACGACCGTTCGCTGTTACACTACTCATTCCAACTGCAGAGTCTTAAGTAAAACAAAATATTAGTCGTGAATTACACTTGCGGTTGAGATGATGTAGAGAAAATTAAAATTCTCAAAAAAACAAGTGTTATTATTTTCAGGAAGTTTCAGTAGTCTCAAATTACAAAAACTTTTTATTCTTATCTCCAACTTCTTCCTGTATGTGTGGCGCACTTCACCTTGCTTCTGCTTATAGGTCATTGCGTTGGAAATTTAGACTATTGGACTATTCGTACTTTAGATATACTACATATCTTTTCCTAATTTAAATCAAGAGGTTTACTTATGGCAAAT